CGCCTGTCAGTGCTATGTCTGTCTGTATCTGTATGTATGCATGCATGCATGAATGTATGTATGTATGTATGTATATATGTATGTATGTATATGTATGTCTTACATTGCAAAAATTGTTTGTACATTGGTGTGTACATACACTTGTACGTGTGTGTGTGCGTGTGTGCGTGTATGTGAATTCAATCATCGTTTTTTCCTTGCTGTCACGGTGTTGTTGTTTGTTTATTTTGATGACGACGACGAAGATGACGACAATGATGATGACGATGATGATGACGATGATGATGACGATGATGATGACGATGATGATGACGATGATGATGACGATGATGATGACGATGATGATGACGATGATGATGACGATTATAATAACATTAACACCAAATAACAAAATACAACAACACTATTAAAGACGATGCTAGGAGCCGCATTCGTCTGAGGTATTAACAGAGAATGACAGCAATTGTTTTAATTGAAACAGTGCCTCTGGCTATAACTCCTGTCTTAATGAAAGTCATTTGTTGGGTTTGTTGTTGTTGTTGTTAATGTTGTTGTTGTCATTTCGAATTAATGCATATTTGTAATTCATTCTTTTATTCATCCACATTTTCACCCATTCGTTCATTTATCTTTCAATCTTTCCATTCATTTCCACTCATTCAAATTTAGCGGTTCATTCCATCTTTCATTTTATTCATCCTTATTTTAAAATCTTTCATTCATCTTTCTACCCAACCACCTGCATGCCGGCCTCACCTATTGCTTATTTATTTCCTCACCTCTCAGTTAGTTCATTCCACGATTTAATCATCCAGCCTTTTCTCTTTTTAATTCGTTTTTCGTTCGTTCGTTCGTTCATTCAGTCATTCATTTATTCATTCATATATATATATTATTAGTTCGTTCGCTCATTTGTTCGTTCGTTCATCATTTGTTCATTCATTATGTCGTCTCGTTTCGTTTATACTTATCAATTATTTGCTTATTTAATTATTCGTTCATTAATTCATTCATTCACTCATTTATTTTTAATTTATTCAATCAATCGGTCATTCATTCACTCGCTCAGTCAATCACATAAAAGTTTTTTTCATTAATTTCCTGTCAATAAATCATAACATTTCACGAGTTTTTAAACGAGATCCTGTAAACATATTATATTTAGATTATTAAACAACAATAATAACAAATGAATGAATGAATGAATTATTGAATGAACGAAAGAACGAACTTAAGAACGAACGAACGAACAAACGAACGAATGATTTTTTGCCAATACCTTCTCTTATATTAATCCTTCCTTCTATCAATTCATCCAACAATCTATCCATCAACAAATTCCTTCACATATCAACCTTTTCATCCATTAATCATTTTAATAATTCATAAAAGCAACATAGTTGTTTAATTATTCATGTTTGTATGTTGTGTATAAATGAATGAATGAATGAATGTATGAATTTAGGTATGTATACATGTAAGTGTGCATGTGTGTGTATGTGTATGCGCGTATGTATCTATGTATGTTTGCTTGTTTGTGTGTGTGTGTGTGTGTCTGTGCCCCCAATCATGAATAACATGCAGATACCGCCAGATTTTTGCGTTGGGCTCGATGCTTTATGAAGTAATTTAATATTGTCTGTATATATCACATTAATGTGCCTATGTGCACGGAACCAACACACATACATACACACCTACATACAAACATACATACAAATACACATACAAACATGCATACTATATGTGCACATACATACCTACAAACAAGCACACATACTAACACAAACATATATATAATTCAACTATTCAACAAGTCAACTTATCAATTAATCTTTTTAATGTCTGTTTATTTTAGTATGGAAAC